CTACTGTCAATCAACTATCGTGGGAGGGGCCTGTACAGAACTACGTCATTCTGACAGGGCTCTCAGAACAGCCTGATTTGAGAAAGGGGATTTTAAATAGGGATTTTTAAAAAAACACTGGGTGGATTTTTATCATTATAGGATGGATGTTTACACACACTTCCAACACACATTTATGTTCAAACAACAACAAAAGTGAATTTTGCATCCGATGACCCCTTTAAAATATTGACCCATTGACACGGAATCAATTCAATGTGGCATGTTCAGTGGCGGCTCTGACGGTTTCGGTGTGTTCGTTCAATGAAGGATTCGTTAGACTGATTCGAACGGATAACTCTTATGTCTTTGGGGCAATTCGTTAAAAGATTCATGAGAGTCAAGTGCTTGAATCAGAACACACAGGCTGCGCTGTATGTTTGTTTTCTCAAGAAGCACGTGTGCAGCACTATGGGATTACATCTCTGCCACAATTCTGCGCGCGAAAGATCATATTTTGAGAGCGCAAAAGTGCGTTTTGTGGAGAAAATGTTTGTCTCGCAAAGAACAAAGTATTTAGAGCGCACGAAAATCTATTTTGCATTTAAAATAAGTTTTTGGATGTGTGCAGACCTTCTCTTTTGCGTGTGCAACGTTTCACTAGCTTGCTCACCTGATACCCGGCCTCAGTGCTCTCTAAATGCCAACGGCTCGCGTGCTTAATAATTATGCATGCATGCACTGTATTTTTCCTCTTCTGCTGTCGTGATAATGCAAGAAATGTTGTGTTCAGCTAATCAGAATTTCTCTGATTGGCTGGAATTATGGCATATTGTAACGCTGGGTTGTGTTGAGCAAGAGAGTAGTTAGCATTTAGAGAGCACTGAGGGCGGGCATCAAGGGAGCAAGCTAGTGAAACGTTGCAAGCGCAAAAGAGAAGGTCTGCACACATCCAAAAACTTATTTTAAATGCAAAATTGATTTTCGTGTGCTCTAAATACTTTTTTCTTTGCGAAACGAAGATTTTCTCCACAAAGCTCAGATTGCGCGCGTGCAAAATGCACTTTTGTGCACTCAAAATATGATCTTTCGCGCGCAGAATTGTGGCAGAGATCTAAGCCTATACAGCACCACCGCTGAAAAGCAGCGCGGGAAATTCTGTGATCTGCGACACACTTGCATGATGTGAAACAGGTAAGTGTAAGTCCCCTTACAAAAAATGAACTATGGTTTTACTAGCCTACAAATAAAAACAAAACAAAAACATGGTTACTATATTTAAAACATGGTAACCACAAATTAACCATGGTTTTGCTACACTAACCATAGTTTAGTTTAGCCTATATCATATTTAGCCTAAATCTGTGGTTGTACAAAAATCGTGATCAATACACCAAAAAAAACATGGTTACTACACTTTTACTATAATAAAACCATGTTTTTGCGAGGGTAATGCCTATTAATGAACTTAAATATGAGTAATTGCACTTTATTTTTAATATTTCTAATATATTAATATTTTTAATATTTCTGACTATTTCTGATCAACGTTTGTGTGCGACCTACTAAGTTGTGGGCCATACAGTTTAACAGCTGTAATTGATTTAAGCAACAAAATGTCTTGAAACAATGAAAAAACAGTTGAAAATGTTATGGATTTTGGATTTTATTTTCCATATAAAAGCAGAGGCAGTAAAAAAGGAAAACACAGCTTTAGTATATCAGTATTGTTCGAAAGCAATACAAAGAATTTGAAATGTACAAATTTTGTGATGCAAAATCCACAAAATGAAAAGTCACCATTATTTAATCTGATATTTGGGCAAGTTCGACATTGCAGTGGTTCGTCCGAACTTTCTTGTCTAAATGTCAGAGGACAAAAAGGCCGGTTGTCCTGACAACCGTTACAGCCACACAGATTCAAAATGTGTGGAGCCAGTTTTCTAAATGTGATCGAAACACTGACAGATACGTGGCTCTTTAAGGGTGGAAATGTGCGACTTAAAGGTCTAAAACACTTGTGTGTGTTTGTGGAGTGTTCCAGATGTGAAACTAAAAGGCTGATAGTTACAGCACCCTGACTAGAAGTATGCTGAAGTAACACGCGGCAAGATTAATAAACATGCGAACCACCATCAGAGCATAAAGCAATACAAACGCCTCACATCCTGTCCTAGAAATGATGGGCCTTCTATAAGCAGCAAAGAGGCAGCGTCCAAAAAGGCAAGTTTATCATTGAAATAACAACATATAACTCTTTTAAAATCACGTCAACACACAACATTATGATAATTATGTCTATTTACAATTAATATTTACAGAACATGTACCTTGTTGATCATAATTGCTCGTGTTATAAAATTATTGTAGATAAAATAATAAAAAAGGTACAAAAGTGGAAAATGGTATTTACACTGTTTAGTATTGATATGTCTTGTTAAAACTGAAAATGTTGGAACTGGCAGATGAGCTGTTTCTATAGCGACTGCAGAATCTGGCTCATAGTCATGCTTTTGGATCGAAAGAGCAGAAAGAAGCTGCCAGCAGCAGCACCAGGTGTGGTGTCACTAGTTGATGATGTCATTTATAACTCCATAAGTGTGATCTGGAAGTGGTTGATCATGACTTCAGTGATCTCGATGAGGAAGGCAGAGTGGTTGCTGTAATGCTCGATGATGTTGTCATCCATGTTCACAAAGATCCTGTTCATAAGAAAGAAAGAATAAGTTATAGAAATTCTTGTTAATATTCTGGCTCATACATTGCTCTGATAACCAACAAATTGGACATATTAAAATACTAATCTATTTTAATGAATTAAAAATAATAAAACTCACAAAATTCAAAGCATTTGAAATTCTATAAGTAAATTTAGGCATCACAACATTATAATGTACAGTATGAAAAATGGATATTCATTTTGAGATTTGCTAAAATATTATTAAAGAAACATTTTTTTAATTATTATTAAAGATTAACTTTAATTCTGCATAAGATTACAGCAAAGGTAATCTAAATGTAAAAGTATGGGAAATTAGCATGGAAAATTAAGTATATTCATATTTTAACACCAAAACACTGTAAAAACTCCAAAATTGGACAATATCTGTTATATTAACATTAAATCATGTATCTGTAGAACCAAACACACACAACTCCAAAAGTTGCTTCTCATCTGCACAAAAACCATACCGCTTTAATTCCAACACCTGCTCATTGACATTTGCGCATTACTACATGATTATTTGTTTTAGTCATTATGACTATGTTGAGTGACACTGACTGACGTACAGATGAACTGTGCCCTAGCAACTGCTGAAAGAAACATTAAGCATTCCTGTACAATCTTCTAAAGCATTCATCATTCCTTCCCTAAGGGCAGACCCTGATTTAGATCCTTAAAAATACAAATCCTTATCTCATGACTTACGCAAACTATTATTTGGCACAACAGTCGTCTCTAACGGCCAACATGTATATGGTGTGCGGGTGTATGACAGACTAGGTCATGCCAGCTCTCCCAGCCCTGAGGGTGGAGGGAGGCTGATTAAAGATTGGGGCGAGAGAATGAGCGAGAATGCGGCCCGACCTGTCCCTATCCCTCAGCCATATCATCAGCTAACAGCCTGAGGAAAGTTGAGCTCCAAGTTACACAGCTCTAGGCTAGGATGATTAAGATAAAACGCCTTTAATAGAGTCCTGGACATGTTTCTTTGACCTATGTGGGTCAAATGGTCCTTAAACTCTCCAGCAGGATGTGAAATATGGTCATACAATTATATGCTTTATTTTAATGCCTTATACTTTATGATGCACTGAGGTGAGTTATTCCCACACATGTTCTGAAATGGATGATTGAACAGGTAAGCGCAAATGTCTACATGGTGTCATGGGTGATCACCAACCAAAGAGATAAATGGTGTTTTTCTAGAGCCCGGGCTCGTTAGGTTGCACGTAGACGCCAGTGCCGCCTTCCTGCACATCCCTCATCTATACTGTTTCTATCTGAGCTTCATAAACCACAAAAAAAAATTTAAAATACAGCACAGTCAGATGAGTCTACCTATGTTGAAATCATCTTGTCTTCCTTCTTTTTCTTTGCTTTTAATTCCCCCTCTTTTTTTTTTTTTTGAAGGGGAGCAGCAATCATCACATTCCAAACACTATAGATCTCCCGTCAACCCGGTCTGTCGACTTTGCTTCCTGGCAGCTTGTTGAGATAGAGCTCAGATTATAAGAAAAGGGTTTAACAGTCGTTCATCTCTGTGAAAGAGCATTTCGACATCCCTCTATCTGTGTTCGTGACTTCGTCATAGCTCCCCAAACGTTTTCACCCAATGGAGTTTAGCTTGGAAATATCTCACTCACCCTCTTTTGCACTTCTTGAAGATTTTCCCAATGGTGTCTTCTTGCATACCGTACTTTTCTGAAATCTGAGAAGGCAGAAAGGGGACATGAGTCACATTTTAGGTACAATTCCTCTTCGAGGTGAGATCTTCGCAAATATGTGTAACGGAAAGATAGGTGGAAAACTCACCGCTTCTCTCAGGCCCTTAAGGGTTGGCATGTTCAACATGAGGGCATCGAATACTTCCTCAGTCTCTCGCCTGACATACAGGAGAACTGAGAATAAAGAATTTAGCATTAAAACACTGTGGGACTGTGATTTGTATCGCAAATTGATATGTTCCCAGGCTTCTGCATTTCTAAATTAATCTTGAGTCTTTCATACCTCTCTGTTGCTCGTCTCGGCGGGCTTGTTTGCTCGGTGGGGAGCTGCTCTGGTCGCCGCTGTCTGCGTAGCAGTTGATACGTTTCAGCGATGTCCTGTCGCTTTCCTCCAGGCTAACAGGGGGCACCTGGACAATAACAAACAGATACAATCAAGATTGTTAAAATGGCGCTTAGTTTCCTGTCTCTTGCGTGTTCGCACGCTGATGAATAAGATGATAACAACTTTATCACAGTGACATCTTGAACACTAAGAGGTGCGACAATGCAGAAAAAACGTAGGATGATCGCATGACTTCCTAATCCTTCACTAATATGCTAAAGTCACTAATATGGGCTGTGACTACATGTAAAAAGGCCTGATGTTATGAAATGATGTCGAAATCTAACAAGTGAGAATTGCGCTAGTCTGGACTGTGGGAAAAATGCCTGTCAGAACAGCCTCCATCCCTCCTCTCTTAGGCTGTGTAAACACAGCTGAAAAGCATCTCTTCAACACCCTCAGAAGTGTGTGTGCGTGTGTTTGAGCTCCCACGGGTTAATCCCTGTGTCAGTCAGCCTGGCCGTCCCCTCCTCAGGTGAGTTTCGCTCGCTGTCATGTAAACTCAGGAGCGCACCAGTTAGCATGTCTGATCTCGAGATCACTTTCTCTTATTCTTTTCCAAGCCCACTTCTTTCCCACTGCATTTTTTCCCACACTTTTCCTCTCTCGCTCCCATACACTCAGCCCTCGGGGTGTTGGTGAACATGACTCAACAATGCTGCGGTAAGCCGCATATCCTAGGATATAGGGAAGAGCGTGTGTGTGTGTGTGTGTGTGTGTGTCTGTGAAAGACAGGCGTACCAGGCCACAGCGCTGCATGGTGCTGAAGTGCATCTCTGGGATGAATAAAACAGGTTGTGTGACGTGATCGTCTAGAGTTTTAAAGTAGGTAGAGTCCTTTCCGACAGAGCTGGAAACTAGGGCCTGTTTACAACCTGAGGAGAAGACAAACAGCTTTAATCTAACACTCAAAGCAATTAATGAAGGCATGACTATCGTAAACCAGACTCTGGTGGAAAACACAGTTTGGCTAGTGGCCCGCAGGTAATTTGAGTTTGAGAGCCCTCTTTTACACTTCGTTGAAAATATGTGCTTGAAAGCTAGTTTTGGTTTTGACTTGTGCCAAATTAGGAGGAAATCCTAAGTAGCCATATAGCATTTCAGTGGCTTGTTGGGTCAGAACATGGACACCAAACGGGGAAGATATGTACTGGGTTTTCTTTATGCTTTTGTTTGGGTGGTAATGGGTGTTCTCTGAAAGTCTCAGGCTGTAATTATATGACTGAAAGCACTCACTATTGTTGCTGGAGTCATTCTTGGTCCTCCTCTTGCTTCTCTTCCTCTCCTCGTCTCTCATCTTCCTCTCTGCTCCCTGCAAGCATTCAAGGACAATAAAACATTTAGAATCTGAGCAATTACAAAGTGCTCTGGCATATCGGAACGACTTATAATACACTTAATTAACCGAGTTAATTAAAAGAGTTTTTAAACTCCTAAAACTATGCTTTAGAACTTATGTCTATTGAAAACCATTCTTGTAAACAACTCAAGAGTTCATGTCTAGTTTAGATGCCAGCTATGTAGTAAATATGCATTTGATCCAGCTAGAGAAACCACAGCAATGCAGTAATGCACTCAGTTCACCTGCTGCTGCTGCTAAACCAGTCAGACGTGTGTTAAATCTAACCTTCCCATCGTGCATTTCCCCCACACACTGTCAAACAGCTAATAACTATGGCCAACGTGGAACACACAAACAGGCTTTAAGGAGATGAGGAGATAAGGCGGTCTGATGACATTTATCTGATCAGCTCAACAAAAGAGATCAATAGGAATCAGAAGATAGAGGTACCAGACATTGTAAGGGTGAGAGACACCGGAAGAGAGATAGACAGACTGAAAGAAAAAACCCACAAATACTTCAGTGTCTATTTATTTTCTGCTTCAGTGAAAACAGTTATCACGTAATTGAAAATGTGCCAGTAAAAGATCGGAGGTCAGACACTTTTCAAGTAAATAACTTAGTAGGTCGTGGTAACAGTGAGTCAGGACTGTGTTTTGTTTAACAGTTTATGACGCAGTCCAAGATGAGCCAAATTAGGTACAGAGATCCACTACACACCCTGATAATGAAACTTAATGTTTCTGATCCATGTTTTAGGTTTAATTAGTGAGGAAACGTACCGATATCAATGACTCTCTGTTTAACGGTAGGCTGTCGAGCGTGCCAGTGGTTCCAGTACTTCAGCTGCATCTCAGGACTCTTGTCATTCTCAAACACAGCCATGATCACCGTCTGAGAGAGATAAAGGAAGAAAAAAAGGAGCATTATCAGAACCTGTTACTTTGTGTTTTTTAGAGAGTAGTGACTGCCTGTAGGACTCCCTGTATGTCTTTTTGTCGTTTACCAAGCGATGTTGTATGTCACCACACTAATGCTCTTTCTCTTTGCTTTGTCACTGACCATAGCAGTGTATGCGCTTACAAAACAGCCAATCTGTCACACCTAGAATATGGAAGGGCATATGAGTTTGGAAGTTTTAGGAAACTTCCCCCAAAGCTTCTGTTGTACGTCATGGTTACTAAATGACAAAATGTTGAAATTTCTCAAAGGATGTCTAAATAACTAGCAACTCTTTCTCTTTGGAACAAATATATGGCAAGCATGAATTCTGTCCTTTATTTCCATTATTTGGCTCTATGAAAGTATAACTTACTTTTACTTTGCTGCATGGCACCCCAGCAGTGCTGTCCACTCCCTGCAGTGTGATGGGGTAAAACTGCCCCTTGTTGAGGTACACCGTGGGTATTTCTGTTGTCTTGTGCTGAGAAGCTTGTGGGGCACCAAGAACAAACTGGAAGTCATTCCTGTGAAAAACAGTCAAATGAATTTTTATGCGATGGCATTACTCAGTATTTTACATGCTTTTTATAGCTTGTGTAAAGTCACCATATATTTTATTGAGGAAAACAAACGCGAAGAGAAAAAAAATATCTGATTTGTAAAGGCTCAGACTGTTAAGAAGCCAGTCTCACCTGTATCTATCTGGAGGAGAGTTGGAGTAGGACTCTGAGTATACTGGGCTTGTTTGTCCCACAAACGTGCTGTAGGCTAGAGGCTATTTTTTTAAAGAAAACAAACAGAAGTGTCATAAAGTGATGGTAATTACTAACTGTTTCAGGCATTCATGGCATATTTTTTAGGATCTGTTGGTATGGCTCAGAAACTACAACAAAAACATTACATTAATATATTTTATATTGTAAATGTGTTTTAAAATGCTCTGCAAACCTCAGGGGTCGTCTCCAGAAAGGGTTGGTCAGATGGCCATGATTTCTGTGTTGGGTGCAGGAGGGGGTACAAGTTGTCCCCGGTGTAGCTGTCAGTGCTCAGTAATGCTTGCTTTGAGTGACTGGAGGAAATGCTTTCAGAAAGCAGCTTCATGATGTGAGCATTCTCCAGCGTGGCCAGCTCAGGGGAAGAGCTATTCACTGTCCTGAGAGATAAATGACAGCACAAATTGTGACCAATTTTTCATCGTACTCCATCATTAATGTTATTCACGCAAGGTTAACTGTTAGCTGCCTAAACAATGATGAAAAAGAGTTAAAGTCAATAGAAGCTTTGTTCAATCTCTGCATTGTTTATGGAGCTTTCTTTGCATGAAAAGCAAAGCCAAACACAGGGCGGGAGCTGTTTGCCACCTAACGCTGATATTTTTTTTTTTCACTGTTTGAGTTTCTCGACAGGCTTTGACATCGGGGAGACCAACAAGCTCTATAGGCAGCTATTTTTCACTTGCACAAAAGGGTGCTGTGTAGTGACTCAGCCTTTTTGGGATGGGTTGAAGAAGAGGATTAACAGCTGAACCAGCTCTGACCTCAGATAATCTTTAGCTAAATTACTCAACCTACCAATATACTGGATAGAGAAAATGTGACATATGTTTGTGTGCGAGAGAGTGTTTTTTGGGGGGGGGGTCTAACTCATTAACACCTCATATAAAAGACTGAAAGTCTCCAGCCACAGGTGTGAAATGCATCCTTTTTGGGATCAGAAACCAAAGACACTGGTGAAAGAACAAGGTTTTAACATGCAAATGAAAGGTTGTGTCATTCTCCAACAGAATGAAAAAGGAGGTTTTGGCTACATGGTTTTTATGGTGTTCCCCCACTTTTTGTATACAAGAAGTCATAATTATTTACCTGCATTTAATTACTTTCCCACTGCATATCATACCATGCTTTTCCAAAACATATATGTTTAAAGGTGTATAATGCTTAATTTTTATCATTTATTTCTAATGCAAGTTGCAAATGAAATTAATATTGTTTTCCTCAAAACATTTATTACAAGGTCTAAATAGCTAACAAAACATGTTCTCAGAACATTTTACTAATGTTCCCATTAAGTTATTTAAAAAACTTATTTCTGAATTTTATCTGAACATTCAAAACATTTTCATATGTTTTTTAAAAATTCTTGGTTATGCAAACAGTAAGTAAACTGAAACAATTTTGAAACATTACGTGAGCTCTACTTTTGAATGGTCTCTATTCTGAAACAAGTTGTAACACTTAAAAATGTTAGATAAACGTTTAACTAATTCAATCTCTGCATTGTTTATGGAGCTTTCTTTGCATGAAAAGCAAAGCCAAACACAGGGCGGGAGCTGTTTGCCACCTAACGCTGATATTTTTTTTTTTCACTGTTTGAGTTTCTCGACAGGCTTTGACATCGGGGAGACCAACAAGCTCTATAGGCAGCTATTTTTCACTTGCACAAAAGGGTGCTGTGTAGTGACTCAGCCTTTTTGGGATGGGTTGAAGAAGAGGATTAACAGCTGAACCAGCTCTGACCTCAGATAATCTTTAGCTAAATTACTCAACCTACCAATATACTGGATAGAGAAAATGTGACATTTTACATCTGGATAACTTACTGTCATGACATATTTACATCTTGCCTTCTCTTTTATACTATATACTTGCAATATATGCTCCCATACTGTATGTTTACTATGAAAGCATTTTAATTCATAAATCATAAAAGTGTATGGTCAAACTTACCTTTCCATGTACATGCTGCTCTCACGCGCACATGATGTCATCTTCTGCTCTTTAGGGGTCTTAAAAATAATACATTTATAATATTATTTCAGTATATAATACAAATTAAATAATGCTAAGAAATAATTATGTTTATATTTTTAAAAAATAATAATAAATACCTTGCAGGCTTCATAGAGGAGGCTTAGAGTTGCAAGTTCTTCATCTGAAGACAGTCTGGGTTTAGTCTTGCTGAGGTCACCGCTGTCCATGCTAGGCCAAGAGTCCATAACGTAGTTGTCTGGATAGCGTAAGTAGTTGAAACTCTCGTTCTGTTGTACCATGAGAGCCCTAGGCGAAAGAAGGGGATATTAGCAAGCATTCCCTGGAACCGCAACATGTGATTTTGCATGTATATGGCAAAATGATAAACAGCTTAAAGGCCACAGAAATGTGCCTCTGGTGCACATAAAACGTTCTGTGACAAAATTACAGCCTTTAATAAATCCAGGGTGCAAGAGCTGATGCTCTTCATCCAGACTTCAAACTATATAATGCTCAAGAAAATCCCACAATCACAAAGAGCAAAACATAAAAGAAACATAAAAGGACTAAATGTCAAGAAACAGTGATAAATCTGACTTTCTCTTCTCATCTGTGCTCCTAAGGGTAGAAACTCTTGTAACGGATCAACAGTCAGAAACAAACCCTAAGTGTAGGAACTTAATTTATCTTAACACAAGCACCACAAACAAAAGACATGGATTTGAAGAGGATCACTAACTCCTCAAACAGTTGGATTTGTTTTGGCACTTTCCCTAACTACTAGGATTAGCAATGAGGTGGTCTGCTATGGGAAGCTAAAATACAAACAGAGTTTAGGCACCTGTGCGCACACTAAATGAATGAGCATTTTCTGTTTATTTATTTTAAAACTGTGCAGACTTTTCTAGATATACCCATATTTTCTAATTCTAGGCACTTGTATAATGACATAGACCCCGACCTCTGACACATTAGCACAAGACTAATGCGTTTCTGTGTTTGTGCACTCGGGCCCCTAGGATAGTTGCACCAGGCTGTCTGTAAAGAGTAAGAGACAGAGTGTGCGTGTTTGAGTCCTGGTGTCAATTTTCAGCAGAAATTATCTTCATGTACTCATTCATGTGGGGGCCCGTTTACACATGAGCAGAGGGAGAGTGGGAGAAGAGGAGAAAGACATTACTCAATAGGAACAGACAGCTCACAGCGGTGAAACTGCAAACTATAGCACACCCCACAAGAAAATCATGAATCATATGAAACTAAATGGATTTTTTTAGTCCTAAATTAACAGCTCATTTGAAAATGTCTAGACAGTGGATAATACAAAAAAAATATTTATTTTTTATCATAAGTTAAACCCTTAATCAAAAAAAATAATATTTTCATGATTTTGGAAAACGATTATAGCAATTCAATTTTAGTAACAAAATGGGATTTGTGTTCAACAGAGCCAAGTAAAGAAAGCCCTAACTAGAGCATTATAAATTAATGCAAATAAATGCAAAATTGATGACACTTACTCAATCTCCTTGGTCATGACTCCTCTGACAGTGATGATAAAATCCTTAGTTTGTAATCTTGTCTCTTCTCTCAAATGTGTTTGTCTGTGTTTGTATCCTGATATA